ACAGGAGGCAGTTTCAATTCAAGGTTTGAAGAGCAACTCAGGGCCATAGTCCCGGGGATTCCTCCAGCCTCAGATGGTCTAGAAAGTTTAGATTCTTTAGGAATTTAAAGTTATCTTCCACATTTTTCTCCCTTTTTATCAGGATTTATCTTTTGAGTCCCTGATCAGAATATTCGCTGGTGGTAGCTGGGCAATATCTAGTTTATCTGGTCTCAAGGTGGAGGATGCAGTGGTTCATGGAGACAATTAGTCCTGTAGTCCAGTTCCTTCTGTGATTATTGGGTGTCTTAGTCATCTAATGCTGCTATAACAGAGATACCACAAGTGGATGGCTTTTACAAAGAGAAGTTTATTCTCTCACAGTCCAGTGGACTACAAGTCCAAATTCAGGGCATCAGTGCCAGGAGAAGGCTTTCCCTCTCTGTGGGCTCTGGAGGAAGGTCCTTATGATGCATCAGTCTTCCCTTGATCTGGGAGCATCTCTGCACAGGAACCTCAGGTCCAAAGGATGCACCCTGCTCCCGGCACTGCTTTCTTGGTGGTATGAGGTTCCCATGTGCCTCTGCTCATTTCTCTCTTTTATATCTCAAAAGAGATTGGCTTAAGACACTATCCAGTCTTGTATACCTCATCATTATAACTGCCGCTAATCCATGTTATTAAATCGTAGTGATTGAGTTTACAACACATAAGGAAATCACATCAGATTACAAAATGGTACACAGTCATACAATACTGGAAATCATGACCCAGCCCAGTTGATACACACATTTTTGGGGGGACATAATTCAATCCATAACATTGGGTTTCCTTCTTTCTCTTTTCTTCCAGACTAAGAAAGACCAATAATTGTATCTTAGATGGCCATTTATAAGCTTTTAGGACCCCAGACATCACTCATCATACTGGGAGGTAGAACATAAACTTTAAGAACCATATTATGCCAGTTGACTGAATTGTCCCTTGTGACCATAGCCCAAAGCCCTCAAACCAAGAAAAATAATCCCAGGAGGTGCTTGTTCAGCATCTGTAGGCCCCCCTCCCCGTTTTTGGTTGTTGTTATTGTTGCAAAACTATACACAACCTAGCATTTTCCCATTCATCCCTTTTACCTATGTACAGCTTATTGACATCAGTTACATCAGTCATGCTGGACAAACTTCACCCACATTTGGTGCCATCTTTCCCATTACTATAAACAAAAGGTGACTTCTACCTAAGGAGTACTTCTCCCTCTTCTCCCTCCCTGATAACCAACCACTAATGAACGTCGTTAGGTGCCACAAAGTCAGTACCTAGTCATAGCTACCCTATGTACAACAGAATGAAACACTACCCAGCTCTGTACTATCCTCATAATCATTGTTATACTTGAGCCCATTGTTTCAGCCACTGTGTCAGTCCATCTCGTTGAGGGTCATCCTCTTTTTTGCTGACTCTCTACTTCACCAGGCATGATGTCCTTCTCCAGGGACCGATCCCTCCTAATAACATGTCCAAATATGTGAGACGAAGACTAGCCATTTTTGCTTCTAAGGAGCATTCTGGCTGTGCTTCTTCCGAGACAGATTTGTTCATTCTTTTTGGCAGTTCATGGTATATTCAATGTTCTTTGCCAACACCATAATTCAAAGGCATCAGCTCTTTGGTCTTCCTTGTTCATTGCCCAGCTTTCACACGCATATGAGGCAATTGAAAACACCATGGCTTGAGTTAGGCACACCTTGGTACCTAAAGTGATATCTTTGCTTTTTAACACTTTAAAGAAGGTCTTTTGCAGCACATTTGCCCAATGCAGTGCATCGTGTGATTTCCTGACTGCTGCTTCCATAGGTGTTGATTGTGAATCCAAGTAAAATGAAATGCTTGACAACCTCAACATTAGTCTCTGTATATTTATTATTCATGTCTTTCATCTTTTTGTTATTGTAAATAGTGCTGCAGTGAGCATAGGTGTGTGTGTATCTGTTTGTGTCACTTTTATTAGATCCCTAGGGTATATACCTAGGAATGGAATTTCTGGGCTGCATGGCAACTCTACTTCTAATTTTTGAGGAACTGCCAGACTGTTTTCCACAACAGATGTACCATTTTGCATTCCCACTAGCAATGGATGAGTGTTCCAGTTTCCCCACATTCTCTCCAATGCTTGTTATTTTACACTTTTTTGTTTTGTTTTGTTTTAATGTTGGCCATCCTAGTGGGAGTGACATAGTCTCATTGTGGTTTTGGTTTGCATTTCGCTGATGACTGATGACACTGAGCATCTTTTCTTTGGTGAAGTGTCTTTTCATGCCCTTTGCCCAGTTTTTTATTGGGTTGTCTTTTTGTTGTTAAGTTGTAGTTTTCTATATATTTTAGATTTTAGACCATTATCAGTTATATCGTTCCCGAAGATTTTTTCCTAGTGTATAGGTTTTGTCTTTGCTCTTTCCATAAAATATTTTGATGAACATATTTAACTTTTATGAGGTCCCAGTTTTCTATTTTCTGCTGCTCATATGTTTGTTGTCGTGTTTGATAATCTGTCCTTGAAAAAAATTAGGTCTCAAAGCTTTGCTCCTATATTTTCTTCCAAGAACTTTATGGTTTTAGATTTAACATTTAGGTCTTTGATCCATTTTGAATTAGTTTTTGAGTATGGCATGAGGTATGGATCTTGTTTCATTCTTCTGCATGTGGAAATCCAAATTTGCCAGCACCATTTGTTGAAGACATTGTCCAGTAATCACATCTTGATCCCTTCCAATGCTTATCTATGTTCTCCCCTTGCCCATGAAGTCAACACTGTTCTGATTTCTAACACTGTAGTTTATATTTGCCTGTTTTTCAACTTTATATAAATGGAATTATATAGTCGGTAATATTTTTGCCTGGCTTATTACACACAACATTTTGTGCAATTTATCCATTTTCATTCATTTTTCCTTACTGTGGACCAAAGGTTCTTAAACTGTAGCATGCTTCAGATTGCATGTTAAAATACAAAATGCTAGGCCCCACCTGCAGAGTTTGTTTTATTTAATAGGTCTAGGGTGTGGTGTAAGAATTTTAACAAGTTTCCAGGGTACCATACTTTGAAATCCAGTGGTATAGAGTATTTCATTGTATGACTATTCTACCGTTTATCTCATACCATTGATAGATATTTTGGATGTTTCCAGGTTTTGGCTATTACAAATGCTGCTGTGAATATTCTTATACATATCTCTTCATTCATATCTGGATACATTTCTGATGGGCATATACCTACCAATGGAATTTCTGTTTCATAAGCTATACATACCTTCAACGAATGCCAAATCATTTACTGAAGTTCTGTACCAGTTAATACTTTCCCCATCAGTGTGTGAGAGTTGTCATTGTTTCATATCCTTGCCAACACTCCATATTGTCAGTCTTTTGAAGTTAGTCATTCTGGTATGTAGTGTGTACCATTGTAGTTTTAATATCTGGATAATATCCCGGATATCTAATGAGAGGGAGGATATTTTCAAATGTTTATTAGCCGTTACATATCATCTTTTATGCAGTAGCTACTCAAAGAGCCTTCTGTTGATTGCATATGTAGTATTACACCCTCTCTGTGGTTTGCATTTTTACTGTTAATAATCTTTTGATGAATAGAAATTCTTAATTATATTGAACTCTAATTTAACAGTCTTTTCACTTCTTGTCCGTGCTTTTCATGTCCTGTTTAATCTTTCCTTTTCTCAAGTTCATGAAGATATTCTCTTTTGTTAACTTCTAGAAGCTTCATTGTTAGTCTGTCACATTTAGATCTACTATCTTCTCAGATTTGATTTTTGTGCATGGTATGAAGTAAGGTTCATATTTACTTTTTCCTCCAAAAAAGTGTGTCAGTGCAAAGTCTTCTCTTCCTCATTGCTCTTCAGAGCCACCTTTGTCATAGAGCAAATGTCTGTATGTGTGCCTTTCTCTTTATATGACTAATTTGCCTTCATCTACCTTTACAGTCAGTATCTTAAAATTTTCTCTAGCGTACTCATTACCCATTAAATACATATCCCATCAAAGACCATTTGAAGAATCGGGGCTATTTCTTACCAGGTTTCACCTGTAATTTGCATTTCCTGAAGAAAATTAGTCTGAGCTCTAGTATCTGATTTATGGAATTTCCCCCCAGGTTAGTAAATATGAATATATAAAAATACATAAATATGGACACATACACAAACATATGCATAAAAATTATTTTTAAAAGAAAAAATGCATTCAGTAAAATGATTGATCAATGATTGTTGATTTTACCACAAGTTTGGCTCCATTTGTTTTGCAGACCCTCCTTGAAAGAATCCTTTGGCTTACTTTCTCTTGCGTCTTGTGCCTGTACTTTTGTAATCAGCGAGAGAAAAATCATGTAGTTTGCCTGTTGATTGGCATGCTCTTTATTATTAGATATGTTAAAAACTTAGTTTACAGTAAAATACTGTTGGCTTGCCAACTATTTTGATTCCTTAAATACTTTTAAAATTTTTCTTCTCTGATCCATTAAATGTTGGTTCACAGTTAAATTCTCACAGGGAAATGTTACTCTCAAGTTCCTGAGGACATCATAATGTTCTCAAATGCACCAACCACCCTATAGGAATCTGCTATAGTAGTCATGACTTCTGTTTTGTGATACTTGGTTTTCTTCCCAAATTTGTGTTTATTTTCTGATCATCTCTCATATTCCTATCTTTTCTTTCTTTATTTTTGGCTTTTTCTTGTGTTACCTTCCTAACTTGCCAACTTCGTAGTTATTTTTTGTATTCCTTAAATACCTTGTTTGTAGTATAAGTTCCTTCCAGTTTTTTAGAATTCTCCTATCTTTCATCTTGCTATCCTTTCTTAGTTAGGAAGAATTACAGGTGGGACATGTTAATTTTATATTACCCTTAATTATGTAGAATAGAACATTATCCTTATCCTTGTGCAATACTTATTTTCAGTTTTTCAACATAGAGAATATTTGCATTTTCAAATTTTTCTTTTAGTCCAGGAGTACTGGTTTGAAGCAAAGATATCAGCCCTAAAGCAAAATACTTCTGAAGAATCTCTTCTGGGAGAGCAAACAAAAAGTGCCACAATGGAAAGAAGTCTGGATTGGGAGGACAGAAGATCCACAGAAAAGAGGCACTATAAATGTGAGGAATGTGGGAAAGTCTTCAAATATAATTGCTCTTTTATTAGCCACCAAAGAAATCATATTGGTGAGAAACCCCATAAATGTAAAGACTGTGGGATAGCCTTTATGAGCAGCTTATCCCTTCTAAATCATCAGAAAATTCACATAGACAAGCAGCTTTATAGATGTATTGAATGCGGGAAATTCCTCAAGAAGCACTCAACATATGTTAATCATCAGAGAATTCATTCTAAAGAGAAACCTCATAAATGCAATGAATGTGGAAAAACTTTCAGTAAGAATTCAATCCTTTTAAGTCATCAGAGAACTCATACTGGCCAGAAACCCTACAAATGTAGTGACTGTGGGAAAGCCTTTGCTCAGAATGTAGCCCGTACTCGTCATGAGAGAATACATAGTGGAGAGAAGCCTTTTAAATGTAATGAATGTGGGAAAGCTTTCAGGGATAACTCAACCGTGTTGGAGCATCAGAAAATCCATACGGGGGAGAAACCATATCAGTGTAATGAATGTGGAAAAGCCTTTAGGAAGAGCTCAACTCTTACTAGTCATCAGAGAATGCATACAGGAGAGAAACCCTATCACTGCAGTACATGTGGAAAGTCTTTCAGGTATAGCTCATCCTTTGCTGGACATCAGAAAACTCATAGTGGAGATAAACCCTATAAGTGTAGTGACTGTGGGAAAGCCTTTACAAAAAGCTCAAACCTTGTTGGACATCAGAGAATTCATACTGGAGAAAAACCCTATTACTGTAAGAAATGTGGGAAAGCCTTCAGGCAGAACTCAGGCCTTGTTGAACATCAGAGACTCCATACTGGAGAAAAACCTTATGAATGTAATGAATGTGGGAAGGCCTTTCCCCAAAGCTCAGCACTTAAACAGCATAAGAAAATTCATAACAAAGATCTGTTAAATGTAGTTGGTGTGGTAAATCATTCAGAATAGTTTATTCCTTTTGACATCAAAGAGGAGACATTCAAAAAACTGCTCCTTCAGCAAAAATATTGTGTGTGCCTCTAATCCTGGAGAACTTCTTACACTTGTGAGGATATTCATTTTATGGTTTGTACTGGTGAAATATGGGAAGAACCAAAATGTATATCAATATGTAGTTATTATGGAATGCTGTGTGGTAATTGAAAAAAATGAGGTAGAGCTCTATATATTGCCATAGAAAGATCCCATGATAGTTCAGGAAGAAAGTTGGAGAAAATCTAAAAATTGTGGTCTCATTTATATTCTTTTAAAAATGAAGCTATTTTTATGTATGTACATATGTATTATATGCATCCAAAAAGATCTGGAAAAATAAAGGCCAAGCTTTGACAGTAATTATCTTTGAGGAGGATGTAGTATTTGTATGATGTAGGAAAATTTTTACTTTGGCTGTGTTCTTTTGAATTTTTAATCAAATGTACATTCTTGTATCTTCTATCATTTAATATAGTTGTCTTTCTAAATTAGAAAATTGAGAAGCCATAAAAATAAAAAACCAACTATCACATAAAATGGAAAAAAATTTTATGTGGCCAGAAGCATCACAGCATTAAAATACAAAGGGCCAGACTTGGAGAAAATATTATCACTACAATATATAAAAATAAATAATACAACATCTAAATACATAATAGAATACCCAAATACATAAGAAAAATATAAAATTTCAGCAGAGAAGTGGCCTGGGATATGAATATACAATTGTCAGAAAAAAATGAAAGTGGTCAAACATAAAAAGAGATGGTCATCTTTCAGGAAATGTAAATTTAAACAATGATCAGATTTGTTTTTTTTTGTTTTTTTTTAATATTTTATTGTACTTCAGGTGAAGGCTTACAGAACAGATAGTTTCTCATGTAACAGTAACACACATGCTGTTTTATGACATTGGTTAACAAC